TAGCCTGAAAAAAGTAAGCGTTTGGTCCTAAGATGTAAGACATGATTAGGATGAGAATTTATTTTACAAATCGTGGACATGGGAGCCTTTCTGCTGCATTAAGGGGAGCGAGGGCACTTGAGGGCTGTCCCCAGGCTCTAAGGATAAGATCGGGGGCATGGCCAGGCCCTCCGCAGCATCCCTGGCAGTTAGAAGTCGGGGAGGAGTCCCGTGTGGCAGCAAGGCCCATCCTTGCAGAGGCAAAGGGTCTGCTGGATAGTGAGACCCACTCCCCTTCCTCATCCTCGTGTATCGATTCTGTGAACGCAAAGCTTTCAAGTGGGACCGGAAGCCCCACTTTAATGCAAAAGACACCTCACTGGGGGTCCCCAAGAATATCCATCACCAAATGCTGGTGGCAGCTTCTAACAGCCTAGCAGGTGTCTCCTCAGCCAACTATTTCCTAAAGTGCATGCTGTTTAAATTCTGGGCCCTGCACCTTTAAAGCGAGTCAGCGTTTTCAAGGTCTGGGGGGCATGTCAGCTACAAACCACTTGCCTCCCCTTACAGTTCACATTGCTCCATGGAATTAAAGCAAACACACGTGGATCAGGCCTCCAGCTCACGCCCAGAGAAGTGGGCAAGGTGGGAGGCAGGCCTCAGAGGGGAAGGGGATTGCCCAGAAAACGGCTGCTGGGAAGGTTCTGGGTGCTTCCCGCCAGCCCTCCGGCTGCATCGCACGACTTTACAGCTGGCCCGAGGGTTCTGCAAGCGAGAGGCCCTCCCCTCCGTGGTAAGGAGAGTGTTGACGCTCGGTTCTTAGAAATATTGCCGGATTCCCAAGGGGTCCCCTCGTGTGGGAAGAACAGAGCAGCTGGGATGTGGGAACAGCACATATCCGGGCCCAGCAGGCCAGCCTGGGATCGATTCTTATCGGGGCCCCTGGAGAGGCTGTGGTTCCCACCCCCCCCACGCCCCCCGCCCCCATATGCGCCTGTGGAGGCACTGGGAGTGTGAGTGGGAAGAGCAGAGCACCTTGGGGCAATACCGTTTCCTGGAAGCTCTGACTTTTTAGGAGAGGAGAGTGTAAGTGAGACCTGGGGGTAGAGGGGCCAGGGAGGAGCAGGGCTCTGGGAACAGCTCCCTGGCATGGCCAGCCACTGCCCACTGCTCGGCCCTCCATGCTGCAAGGCTGGCTGTGACATGGCCAGGGCAGGGAGCCTTCTCAGGACAGCTGTCCAGTGTCAGGCCCCTGTCCTTCCCCACACTCTCTCCCTCCCGGAGCGCTCAGCCCTCAGCTGACTGCTTGGCAAATGGCTGGAGGGACCCCTACCATCTGAGACCCGGGGGTCCTGCCTGAAGAGCATGGCCCTCTGTTAAAGGACAGGGTCTGAGGCTAGGGCGAGGCGTACCCCGCGCCACTCGGCTACCAGGCTGACAACCCAGTTGTGTGTGTTTTCAAAGTGGAAACGAAGGGCGGTGCTGGCCACCACATCCCAGACCCCTCCTGTCTGGGAAGCCTGCGGCAGAGGGACGGAGCGTGGACAACGGGCAGTACCGGATTCATGTGCCTTAGTCCCGGTGGCGGGAGGACTCTCCATGGTGGCGGCGGCAGTGGTGGTGGTAGTTGTGGCGACGGTGGTGGCGATGGTGGTAGGTGCGACAGTTGGAATGATGGGGACTGTTGTGGCTTCGGTGGCGGCGGCGGCGGCAGTGGCAGTAGCATCGGTACTGCTCACGGCGCCCGTGGCACCCACCGTGGTCGGGGGCAACGTGGGAGGAGCTGAGAGGAAAATGTAAAACAGCCGAGTCTGGTTGGTTTGGCTGTCGCCGCCTGGACACACGGCCCCCGCGTGCAAGGCAGGCAGCCCCGCGACGGGATGGAGCGCGGGGATCAGCGGCCTCCCCACGCGTGCGGACGGACTGGGTCACGCGGGTCCCCGGGAGAGGACACAGCCATGTGACAGGAAGAGAATGAAGCCCCGCGTGCGTTTCATTTTCTTCTCATGGTCTGTGTGGCTCAAAGCATCCAGCATGCATCCAGCCCAGGGCAGGGGAGAAGATGGGAAGGGCCATGGACGCGTCGCTCAGACCTCAAGGACGACGGCATGGGGTCCCAGGCCAGCACCACCCATACACAGGCCAAGCAGCACCATGTCAACCCAGACCTGTAGCCTGGCCTCGGAGGGGGGCAGACGGCTGGTTCCTGCCCTACAGGAGCACCGGGAAGCCTGCCATTCCCAACCACTCACCCCAAATTACATGCCCGCCCCCCCGCCACCTGCTGAGTTCTAATGCCAGAGGATACACTCCCCTCCGCGAAGCCTGCCCGCGCCTCTCTCCGTCTCGGTCTCCGCTGTTGACCCTCCCGGCCTCTCCTCCCTTCTCCGCCAGGGACCATCCCCCCCGCAGCTACCCTATTCCACCCTGGACTGCAGTAACTGCCTTTCTCTCTAGGACATTTGGGGTCCAGGCTCCCCAAGTCCTTTCCCTTTGCATTAGAACAAGGGAAAGGGCATGGATGGAAGCACCTCCTCCCAGCCCACAGCAGGCACAAATGGAATCGCAAGCGAGACACATGCTGTGTCTTCTTTTTTGCACAAACCATCAGGGGCTTTCCATCTGTGCGCACGCATGCTCTCTTCTTCCACCCAAAGCTAACCTTCCCCGGAGGGCAGCCCTCGGGGCTCAGTCTGTGTGTGGCCACATTTCCAAAAGCCCTCTCCAGCTACAAAGGGTCCTGGAAGCTAACAGGACACGGCCTGGCTGCCCTTTAGATCCCTTCCTGCTATGGCCTGAGGGCCTGAGAGGACGGATGGGGCAGGTCAGACAGAGAGCCGCGCCTCCCTCTCTGTGGTCTGATCACAGTCCACCTGCTGGTGTGGATGCTAAATGGGGCGGGGGCAGGAGGCCAGATGTTAAGACATTCGCAGGCAGCTCTAACTCCCAAAGAACAGAGGTCCTGCCGCACATCTCCACACTATCCCTCCCACGCCCCCGTAAAAGGGGGCCAGGCTAGGGAGGAGCTAGAAAGAAAACGGCCGGAGCGCTTTTCTCAGGGGAGAATGGAGGTCCTGAGCGTTCTCAGCAACAGCCCGACCAACAAGAGCCCTTTCACGCCTGGGCCTCCAATAGGACAAGTGCCCCACAGAGGAGGGACTGTTCCTGGGATCCCCTGTCACTTCCCTACTTGTAGGATCAGAGGCATTGCTGGACCCGGAGGGCGCTGACCACAGAAGCCACACTGGGCAGCTGACTCTCACACATTCCCGGGATTCCTGAGCAGAGGCCAGGCTGGCGGTGGGAGGTCCCTCGAGCCCCACTCAACCCACAGACATCAGGAAGGTGTGTGTTGAGTGGGTGGGGGTTTACCTCCCTCTCACAGGCATTATTCAAGGATATATTCAGTCCCAGGTAGCCCCAGGCCTGGACGGCTCAGTGCTATAAAAGCTCAGTATAAGGGATTTCATCTACCCCACCCACCAAGACAGACAGGCAGACGGACACATCCATGGGAGAGCCCGAGACCCAGCAGGCAAAGGTCGGCTCTCTCCCAGGCCGGGTCCTGGTGGCGCCCACGGCCATGGAAGCCCATGGGCCATGGATACAACTGCTCCTGCCTTTGGGAGGGGCCTCAAGAGGCGTGGACCGCCCTGGCCAGACTGCTCTAATTTGGTGCCTTAAGGGTGTATTCTCTAAAAGTTTCTGGCAAATACAATGTTCACAGGCCTCCCTTTTCTATAATTATTTAAAAGGTGTCATTAAAAAACCCATCTTAACTTAAATCATCCCACTCTGTGTAGCTCAGGGACCTGGGCCTCCCTGCCCACACACAGTGGAGTTACATTCCCCACGCTCTCCATGCTCACGCTCTCACATGCCCCTTGGTCCTTGTGCAAGCCGAGTACGCACGCTCACACTCACACAGGCAACCCTGTGTGCCCCCGTGAGCGGCCTTAGGGGCGGAGATGCTGAGAGAGGCGGTTAGAGCGAGTTCTCCCTGAGCCTGCAGGTCAGAGACAGGAATGAAAAGGGCTGAGGGTGCTTCCACGTGGTCCTGCCCTCCGCCTGATGGTCCCTTTGCCAAGAGTGACAGAAAGGAAGTGACTCTCTGATGATGGCTATTCGGTTGCCTTTCCTGGCATCAGAGGCAACAGTCTCAGGTGTCAGTGGGAGGGGACCCAGAGGGCGTGAGAGGAAAGGAATGCTTTGCTTCCCAGGCATCACGGGAGTCACCTTGGAGGTCACAACAGGCAAATAAGCACTCTGACCACTCATGAGCTGTGTCTGCGTTCCCAGGCTGGACAGGCCGGAGTCAGGGAGCACAGAGGCACGGAGAGGCTCCGAGGGAAGGGCCAGAGGGGCAGGTGAGTGAGTTGTTAGGGGTGTGACAGAGGGGCAGGTGAGTGAGTTTAGGGGTGTGACAGAGGGGCAGGTGAGTGAGTTTAGGGGTGTGACAGAGGGGCAGGTGAGTGAGTTTGGAGGTGTGTACAGGGGAAGGGAGGAGGAGGGAGGAGAAGGAAGAAAGAAGGTTTCCCCTGGGGAACATGACTGGTGCTCAGGTCAATGGGGGCTCAGGTGATGCCATCCTGGGGGCGGGGTAGAGGACAGAAGGGAAATAAAGACCAGAAGCGGGGCTATGGACAGAGTGGCCCCCAGGCTGGACCGACATGTTACTAGGATGTCACCTCCAGCCACAGCGGGCACTATGGGCCGGAGAACCACCTGGTCAGTGCTCAGTGGAGACCACCAGCCTGGCAACTGGGAGCCCGGGACCCCGACCTGAAGGCAGTGTCTACCTGGCGGGTGGCCTGATGCACCTGGAGGCAGCCCAGGCATGGCCGAAGGTTTCCCTCAGGTTCAGGAACAAACACCTCATCAGAGACGGAGAAAACTGAGCAAAGACCCCAGACCTGTCAAGGCTGCCTACCCAACAATTACAGATCTCAGCCGAGTCAGAGATGAGGGCAGCAGTTTCCAGACATTTCCAGGTGGAAGGTTCAGTCCCAAAATGCCCACAGGGTGCACGGCCCACCTGGCCCAACCACAGATGGCCAGGCCCGATGGGCAGCAGTCCTGAGGGACAGCAGGCATGGGAGCACGAGAGGGATCACCTTCACCGGGTGCGATTCAAACAGATCCGTTCCGGGAAAACCACCCAGGTTTGGGGAGGATGAGAAGGGAACAGTGGGCTGGAAATCAGGTGCCTTCTGCCTGCAGGTTACCCAGAGGTTCTCGCGCGTGGAAAGGTGAGGACAGCTGGAGATCCCAGCATGGCTCCTTACAAAGGGCAGGGCCTCTACGACCACGTCCCACCGAAGCTAGAGCCTGGAAACACGCTGACTGATGGTAGAGACCCAGCGCCCACTCTGCATACCAGGAGCTCGAACCTTCTCTAGACAGAAGTGCCAAGTGGGGGTGTCTGAAATGACACCCATCCCCCTCGCAACTGCCACTCTGGACAGGGGCAGCACAGACTGGCATGAATGCCCTGTGAGCAAGGCAGACTCCCTGCCACCAGCCCACCTGCCTTGAGTCTCGGGTGCCAGAGTGGGGTAGGTGGGCCAGGAGCTGCTTGACCAATGAGCTTCTAGCTGATGCTCTGGGCGCCTTCCCTGTCTCATCCTCACCCAGCCTGCTCAGGCTGCCCTGTGCACCCGCCGAAACAGGCCCAGAGGAGACTCCTCTGCAAACTTGAATCAAGAAATCGGAGCAACCCCCAGAGAACTGCAGGAGGGGAGGGGGATGGGAGCGCACCACCCCCAGATCTGGCTGACAAAACAGAGGCAAATTGAAGGAAGCAGGGTGTGCAACAGAAATAGAATCAACCTAAAATGGGGGTGGGGGTAAAGGCGTGAAGGTGGGCAGGAAACCAAATCGGGCAAGGTGGCATCCTCCCCATAAACCAACCCTCAGATTCCCCGCTGCCTGGAGCCTGAGGAGGCTCCGGGAAGCCCTGGCCCCACAGCCTCTGCTCTGCCAGGCGAGCCTTGTTCTCAGCCTCAGAGGGCAGGGAATGGACCTGGGCCTCCTGCCCAGTGTCTCCAGCGGAGGACAGGCCTTCCTTGGTGAAGCCCCCTCTGATGTCCCTCCAGCCCACACCTGAGGACGTGAGAGGAGGAACGTGGTTAGCAGGTCAGCTGCTAAGCTGGGACCTGCCTGCCCAGCGCCTCACTTGTGTGCAGCAACCTCCCAGAACCAGAGTGGAGGCTGTTCTTAACACTGACCCCTCCTGGCAGCTGGGTTTGGAAGGGTGAGGGGACCGTCAGCCCATGGCGCCCAGACACTCCAGATCCTGGAGCACCCGCCTCTGTCCAAAGATATGCTCACTGGTTCTCACGGACCAGAACCCACGGGAGATGGCAGAGCTGGCGCCGGGCCCCCATGCAGCGTGCAAGGCCAGCATGCACAGTGTCACCCTTCCCGGGCATGCAGCCTGACCAGAGGACAGGAGCGGGCTGTGCCCACTCGGGGTGCAGCATGCCTTCTCGGGGCACAGACGGTGACCCTCTCTCTGGGCTGAGATGTCAAGCCTAGGCCGGGGCCCAGGTGGAGCAAGGAAGTCATCACTCAGCTTCAGAGAAGGCGGCAGCTCCAGAGAACAGGGGCGGAGCCCGTGTGTGTGTTGGGGGGCCCTTCTAAGTCATCCCCCTTGTCAATAAATAGTCAGTGGAGGGATGAGAATGCGTTTGACTCTGGCTCCATCCCCTACGCACATCCTCCCTGACAGTCTGGCTGCCCAACCCGGAAAGGGTGAGTCTGGAGCATGCTTTCTCCCGAGCCTCTCCCTCCTTCTCTGCCTTGGCTGGCCGCCACCTGTGTCATCCCATGCCATGCCCATTACCTCCGCTGCTGGTACGGTACCTGCGGTTGGAGTAGCTTCAGAACACAGCGCCCAAGATGGCCAGAGAGAGGGAGAAAGGAGAAGAGAGGGAAGAGAAAACAGAATACAGGTGAAACCTCAGGGCAACAGGCAGAGAAGGCTCTGGCTCAAACCTGACCGGACAGTGTGGCCAGGTGCTGGCCGCTGCCCTGAGGAGGCCAGCTAGTGTCCGGGGCTCATGTTCCACTCCCATGGGGTCTGGCACGTTTCTACAGGAGACTTCCCACCTGGGTTCTGGAGGCTTCTCCAATACACTCCGATTCTGCCTCTACTCAAGGGCTATCGTCGGAGAGGTGGTGACAGGCACAGGCCACCTAGAGAGCTATGCTCCTGGGTCTTTCACCAAGAGGATGTCCTGCCCTGGCTGGCTGGCCTGGAGGCAGCAGGCTGGGTGATTCTCCCCGATGCCAGGAATCGAGGGTGCAGGTGGTGTAGGAGGACACCGTCCCCAGACAAAAGAATGGTCCTGGGGATCTTAGGGGGGAGATGTTGGATAACGTTGAGGTGGATGGGAGAAGGGGGAGCCTATTGGCTGAACCCTTCCACTCTCTCTCAGCCGGGGAAGGCCTGGGAGCGGGGAGAGACCAGAGCCCCGAGGCCCCCATTTTCTCTGCCGCCCAGTTCTTTCCCACCAGCTGTGCTTTGTGAAATCAGAAACCCAACTGTGGACGGGGCCCTAAAAGGAATCCCTGACTTTGCTGCAAATCCCTGGCTTGAGAAGAAAGTCTTTGTCCTCCTGTTGCCGGGGGCTGTGGAACTTTCCCTGGTGGTCACTGGGCTGGACAATGGGTCTTTATCTGGGCTCCATCCCGGGTGGAGATGGAGAGAAGAGGCTCTCTTCATGTAGCTCCTTAGAGCTAAGTACTCAAGAAAGTGCATCACCTCTGGTCTGGCCAGGCCTTTGATTACAGCACCTACGGTATCACTGACCCAAAGCCTCCCGGCCCTAATGAATGGGGTTGGAAGGCCAAAGGGGGAGGGGAGCTTATTGTGTGACTCACTCCTGGTTTACGAGACCAGAGAGGGCTGCAGAAAGGACTGTAAGCCCTTCTCCAGCTCCTGCCGCCCACCTCCACCCGCCCCCCACCCAGGTGCTGGCCCGCTGGCCAGGGAAGCAGGGCCTGGGAAGGGATGCAGGGCTGCTTATGAAGCTGAATTGGGAGCCCGGGGTAAGGCGGCAGAAACAGCAGGGCCCGGCAGCCCCAGGAGTGAGGGGCTAATGCTCTCCTGGGTGGGGTAAGGTTCTCTGAGGCCCTGTCTGAGCCAGGATCAGGCTGCCCAACCTCAGCCTTCTGGAGAAAGCACGAGACAGGATCACCTGCCGCCAGCCTCAAGGCCCCCCACTCACATCACCTCTCCTCTGAAGCCTCCCCTCGCAGCCTCAACGCCCCAGCCCCGCACAGCCACAACCACGGCACCGTCCCCATCTGAACATAACGCTCCTCGTGTTAAAATGCAGCTGGGCATTCTCATGGATGCCGCTTCTAGACGGTGTGAGCTTACTGCCTAGAGCCCCCCGCTTCTGGCACGGTGTCTAGCACCTCACAGTGTGGGTGCTCAAGAAACGGCTTGTGAATGGCCCACTGTACCTCTGGAGAGGCCGTGGGGTCCCCCCTTTCACATGGGATCTGCTGATATCAAAGCTTCTATAGTCACAAACCGGACAGAGGCTCCTTGAGACCAGTCAGCGTGTGCAGGCGGGCCCGGAGCCCCCTCTAGTGGAGCTCTCTGGCAGGTGCAGCTCTGGCAGGGATTGCTGGGCCCGGACCCAGGAGATGGACCCATTTGCTCTTTGTGAAGCCGGTTTGGCAAATGGCTGTTTCCCAACTCCCTTTCCTCTCTGCAGCCTGACAACTCACTCAGTTCAGGCTGCAAGGGGGGACTACATCGACTCGTGCTCCGGGCAGGTAGCTCTCTCCCCGGCCTCCTTGAACCCACGCAGAGAGCAGACCCCGTTTCAACTATAATAACACTCCTGTCCCTAAACAGGTGAGCACTTTCACTGTTCCGTGGGGTTCATCAGCCTATTGACTTCCAACACACATTCTCGCATCTCTTCCGTCCCCCCCCGCCCCCGAGCCCCCCAGAAGGAGGGATGGCACATGCTAAGTGGCTGAGCAAGTCAAGGCACCGTGGGGACCCGGGTCTGATGACAAGACTAAGGAACCTGAGTTGTCCACATACATCGCCAGCACCCACCTACCTGCCAGCACACCAGACGGGCTCCCTGCTTCCCTTGAAGGACCTGCAGCCTCCTTTCCTCTCCATCCCAGGCGGCTGGGCAGCCAGGGGGCAGGTCAGAGGGTTTCTCTGGGCCTCTGCGTTAGTGGGGCCCTGTCATCCCGAGGCCGCCACAATGCACCTACCTTCATTCGGGGCCGCCGGCGACTCCTCCGTGACCGCCTCCCCGGAGCCCACCTGCGTCCTGGCACTCAGGGTGAAGCGGTAGCGTGACACGGGGTCCGCTCTCTGCACCGTGAACTTGGTCTGGTTGGGAGAGAAGTTCTCCACCATCTGCTTTCCTAGTTTGGTTCCATTAACTGGGTGGAGAGAGGCACGTGGGATTGACCTTCAGCGGTGCTGACCGCGATCAGTTGTATAACCTGCAGCTGCAAACCTTCCCAGCTCAACCGTAAGGGATATGGTGAAACCCGCCCCACGTGAGCACCTGACGGCTCGGGGGATGGGAGTTTGGGCAAAGGCAGCCTGCAGGGCAGGGGCTCCTTTGTGCTGTTTGAGGGCACACAGGGCTGCTACTTTTCACTCATCCTGTGACCTCTGGCTCGCTGCAAAGTTGTGCGGCTGATTCTGAAAGACTCCGAGTACCATCCCCAAGCCTTTTCAACAAGACGAAACATACGGGTTTCTTTCTTCCTTTCAAACAGAACTAGGGCAAAGCCACTAGAGCAGTGGTTCTCAACCTTGGCTGCACATTAGAATCACCTGGGAATCTTTTAAAACTCCTGATTGGCCCAGAAATCAGGATTTTAAAAAGATTCCCAGATGATTCTAATGTGCAGCCAAGGTTGAGAACCACTGCATTGGAGCAAGCATGTCAAACTCGTGACCCGGGGGCCACAGGCCTCATTTATTTGGCTCGTGTTGGCCTTTGAGTTTGACATGCTTGCACTAGAGTTCTACTTGATGCTT